TCTTTTCGTAGATATTAAGTATTTCAGTGATTTTTTCGACGAGGTCTGTCTCTGATTCCTGTATATTATTAATATTAGTGGGAGTCGTTTCAATTCTGTTAACGTATTGTAATTTCAGATTTTCCGTTTCTTCTAGTTTCATCGTGATTTCTGCTTGTTCTAGTTTGTCTACTAGTTTTCTAAAATCTAAATCGGGTTCTCGAATTGAAGAAGGATGGGATGCTCTCTTTTTTATTGCTATTTTCCTTAATTGTGGTGTTAAGGTCATCATTAAGATTTCTGTCATCTTTGTGTTTTTATAGTCGTGTGTATTTAGTGAATATGCTTTTCGAACTAGTGTTTCGATTCTTACTGCTAACTGTTTGATGGTTTCGTTTGGTAATCTGCGAATTTCATTACATAAAACTCTTTGTTGTTGTTTGTTTCTTTCAGAGTCAAACATTTTTGAAAATTCTTGTGTAAATCTTTTCCAGTTTGATTTTATTTCTAGAGGTAGTACTGAAAACCATTTTTGGGCTGCGCCATCTAAGGTTGTTTGTATCAACGCTGTGCGTCGATGTATCCAGTTTTGATGTAGTGGCGTATTAATTGGTTCAGGTCCAATGTTTAAAATCAGGTTTGCTGTTACTGCATTTAAATAATCTTCTACAGAGTATTCAGGGTCTGTTCCTGTGAAAACCATTAAAGGTTTATTTGATGTTATTGATGATCCACCCATTAGGTATGGATTCATTGTCATTTGTAATGATTCTGCTGCATTTGGCATTTGAGAAAAATTTGAAAGTTGGTTTCTTGTTATTTCATGTTGTTGAAGATAATATGGGAGTGGTATTTCATTTTGCATTTGTGATGGTTGATACGAGTGTGCAGTCATTGGATTTTGTTGTTGAATTGGTTGAAAAGATTGTGTATTAATTGGATTTTGTTGTTGAATTGGTTGTTGATGTTGTGCATCTATCGGTTGTGGAGAAAAATTCCTATGATTTGTACGTGTTTTCTGTATTCCTTGTCTACGATATTCTTGAGTATTTGGTGCAAATATATCTGGTTGTAAGAAATCATCATCTGAGGATAAATAATCCATTTGATAAGATGTTTGTTTTTTCTTTTTATTTTGTTGAAAAAATGGGTAATTTTCACTGCGATCCTGTGGAGGATTTGGTTGAAAATTTTTGGAATTATATTGGGCCGTTGGGTTATCCCAGTTTCGAGGTTTTGTATATTGATTAAAATTCCTTTGTGGTTGATAATTTGTTTTTGACGGATGTGTATAATTATAATTATGGTCTGCAAAGTTGTTTCTAGTGAATGTTTTGCGTGTTTTTGATGGTATTGTCATGGGTCTATATGTTTGGTAATCCATATGTGAATATTTTGGAGCAACCGAAGGTTTAACGGTTGATTGTAAGGTTACTTGTGTTTGTGAAAGATTTGTATTCCTTGGTGTTGTTAAATTCGGGCGTATTGGTGAAATACTTTGTTGTGTAGTTGTTGTGTGTACAATTTCTTCATTTATGAAGTGTGATGGTGTCTGTATATCTTGTTGAGTAAGATTCCTAGTTCCATTGAGGTTTTCGTTGTGTATGACTGTAGAGTTTAAACTATTATTTTGTGTATCGGGTAAAAATGTATTATAGTTTAATGGTGTTGCATCAATTGTTAATGGTATTACTCTTACATAATCTCTTATGTAAGATATTGTACCTATTGCTTGACTTGAGATTGATTGTGGAAAGCTTATAAATGCGGGATGAGACCATTCGGGGTCCCAAACATAATCTGATTGTTCTGTGATAGCGGTATCATCGTTCGAATTTTGGGGTCTAAAATTTTTTCTTGCTTGTGCAATTAAATCAATATTGTGTGTGAAATAATCTATTATGAACCATGCCAAAATTTTTTGTAAATCGTGTTTGGTATGTTGTGAAACGTCGTCTTTCGTGAAATTTTCTTTAATGATGTTTAAATAACTAGAGAGTAGTGTGATTTCATGTCGTACTCTTAAATGTTTAGATGTTTCTGTCGGTGAGACATTTGTTAATGGGAGTTCATTTTCTAATATCGAAATATAACTATATATTATTGCGAAAACTTCATTGGTGAAAATGGAGTTTGCTCTTTGTGAGTTATGGTATTGGATGCTTTTTATATATTCTGAAAAAACTTTTGAAAATTCTAAGTCAAGATCGTCTGTTTGAATAGTATATGTTCTATTATTATGGTTTGGGGAAGTGAATTCTATAGAGTAGATTCCATACTGTTGTGTTATGTTGCAAATATCTTTTAGATAGTGATCTATGATTTGTCTTTTGATTTTTACATCGGGGAACTCTGTTTTACATGGACTGATTCCGGGTTCAAATAAATTTACGAGTAAATTTTGACAAAATATGTGTTGTCCTCTATCAGTATCTGCATCTACTATAAAAGGAAAGATTTCATCATCATCTGGAGTTTCGTCACCTGGGGTGTGTGTTGAACTCATTTTTCCGTTCGATGACTGTTAATATGTAATTATTAATGTGTCGAATTGGTTGATTCCAATTGTATAGATGTACTGGTTTGTGTTTGTACTGTTTTTTTATTCTTCTTTTTCCTCTTTGTGATGAATTTGAAGTTGTTTCTGAGTCAGAAAAATATAGTTGATCGTGAAGTGGGCAATTTTTATCTATTGATTCTTTTAGTTTGTAAAGTTCGTCTAAACTGTTGGTTTCTGATTCTGAAAATGCGTTTCGATTTTTTGAAAATCTTTTTCGTGTTATTTGTCTTTGTTTAGTTATTATTTTCCTCTTTAGTGTTTGTCGTTTTGTGCGAATGTATCCAACTGTTTGTGTATGAGGTGTGATTACAAGGTCGTATTTTTTGTTATCTATTTCACAATTGTGTAAAACGATTGTTTGTTTATTTCCTAGGTTTTTAAATGACATAAGGTTTAGGATGACGGATGCAAAAAGTTGTTAAGTGAATTCTAATTACTTAAACTGTTAGTCCTTACGATTTTTTGGTTAGCTTAACCTGGGTCTATTTGTTCAGGGTTGGAGAGAAAATAATATCGATTCCGAAGAATGATTTTTACTTTCTCGTGACTAGTATAAGCTAAGGTGTTAACTTACTTAATCTTACTTAGGGGTAGTGATTGTGTTCAAGGGTTGGAGAATAGTAAATCGATCCACAAGGTTCAGGTATAATTAGAACGCGAGTAGTTCGTTAGATACTATTTTAAACTTACTAAGTCTAAGATTTATCCTGGGTCTGGTAAGAGGGGGGGTCAAGTGAAGGATGAATAACCGAAGTTCTTCACTGTTTATCCTAATTTGAATGATTAGTTTTGTGTAAAAATTTCTATTAGTCCTGGGTTTTTAGAGAGGGTTGGATAGTGAATCGACGTTTGAGGTCGTTAGACACTAATTAAGTGGGTGGGGGAGAACAAAGTTGTTCTGTTTGATCCAAGGATAAGCCTTGATGATCAAGTTTGAAATTTAATTAAGTAGAAAATGATTTAAGATCCAAGGATAAGCCTTGATGATCTGATTTTAAATTAAGTGACTTTAAGTTTTAATAAAGTTTTAAATTTGTGTAAAGGAAAGATTTAGTGTTTTATGATGTTAGTGAGTTGATGATTGCTGTTATGTTTTAGGTGATGAAGCTGGAACAACAGGATGATTTATGATTACTAACCATTTATTGTCATGCTACTAATTTTTATTTTTATTTTCCAATAAATATTTTTCAAACATGTTTTGTATAATACTGCAGAGTTTTAGGAAAACGATCTAAGATCTTTTTATCAATCGTTATTGTATAATATTAATTTTGTTTAGCGCCTGAAATGATTTTGAAGGGTAACTTCAAGGTTTTATGTTTGCAAATGGAAATCTAAATTCATTGCAAGTAGTATTCGAAATATAAAAGTTTGTTCTGGCTTTTGCCGAACTATCATATAACTATACGGCAAGTTTCTACTTTGTCGTATGTCGTCTTTGGTTCGAGGTCTTCTTCCAATTCCGGGTAGTTCTGTTATGGTTCGGAATATTGGCTCTGATCTATTGAGTCGGAGAGACATTTCAATTAAATTATTGTCGTATAACATTTTGTAAATGTTTTTGTCTAATTTCTAATCTATTTTTGGTTAATTCTAATCTAGTAAGGTCTTGTTCGAGACTTATGGTCGCACCAGATGAGTTAGGACTGGGGTGTATAACTCATAGAGTAATTTCGGATAGGGTACACCGTCTGCTCGTCACGCTATCTTATTTTCGGCCGGATAGATTCGTGCAACTTCTTAGTCTAATACCGATCCTAATCTTACTCTTATACTATCTAGTCTCAGGTTGTTTAACTAGTCTCTGCTAGGCTCAATAGATCTAGGGTATACTGGTTTATTGCGGCTGCTGAAGTGCTCGGGAGAGTCCAACTAATTTCTAAGTTAAATTCAAATCTCTCTGGTGCTGAAATTACAAGTAACTTCAGCACTTACAAATAAGTGGGTTGTTAGTTAGATGGATCATGATTGGTTAATATTAAATACTTTACATTGGTAAAACATTTAATTTATCCAATCATAAAATGTAGTTTAGATCAGGTTCCAATGATGTAATTCAAGTACAGTTTAATAAACAGTGTAACCAAGTTTATGTTCATGAAAAAGGGCTGCTAAAATAGATTTGCATCGTTTTGCAGCAGAAAAAGATAGGTTTCGACTGTGCATAATTTTTAAGCGTTCAATATGACGATTCTGAAAATGAATCAACTGTGACAACCCTCCTCAATAATTGCTCTTTTCAAAACGAAATGTAATTGAATTTCCTGAGGCTATTTAAGCCATTTGCTATGTAAGCCTTTGGGGTCTATTGGGCAACTAAGATTGGCTCTTAAAAACAGCTAAATTCCGTTGTGATTCTTCTGAAAAAAAAGAAAGTAAATAAAATTGGAAATTAATTAAGTTCGCGGTTAAATAAATGATATGATAAATTAAACTTTGAATTTCAAAAACTTTTATCAATAAAACATAACGCAATCTAACCCAAATTGAGTTTTTAATTCTTTGTATTCAACTGTTTCTTAATGGTAAATAAATGGGCTACATCGACAAAATCCGACACCATTTTAATAGTCATCGCAGGAATTGCACCACGAAATTGCACCACGGGTCTTTAGAGGAATTGCACCACGGCTCTCTAGAGAAAATTTTTTTTCTCAAAAAAGTGACTTTCATTTTTCACAATTTCACTTCAAATGTACTAAACAGCGCTCTGGTTAATTTTATTGGAATGTTCGCTACTTCCTCGCCCAGAAGTACAGTTACAACAGCAACTCTGAATGTTGGGACTGTTTGAAGCTTTGGCAACAGGAGTGGGGGATAGCGGTTGAGTCCTAGCTTCGACCGTTTCGATTTTTGTTCTAAATCGCATTGTTGCCCCGCTGTTTTTCGGCAAAGTGGTCTCTTTTTTGCCTAACACCATATACAGCTTCGGGGCAAATAGACAAGCTACCACCACACTAGCCGAAACCATGCAAGTAACCGAAAGTGTAATTGTCCGAATGTCTAAATTGTCCGACGACATGAAATAGATCGGGAAAAAAGAAACCCAAACTACGCAAGTCGTGTAAACAGTTAACCCGATGTACTTCGACTCGTTGAAAGATTCGGGTATCTTTCGGGTGATTATTGCGTAATATGTGCACACGCATAATAGAATTAGCGGGTAGGTTATCCCGGCAACGTATGAAAACTCGTTGAAGTTCTGACAGATTAGCTGCAGTCGGAAAAGAGAGGGTTCGTTCACAATTGCCTCCGGCTTAGAGGCCAGAAACCACATTATGATGAAGACCAGCTCAACTAGGTTCAAACATCCAGTGATGACAACCTAAACATGGCAGATTTTGTTCAATCTTTTCGTAAGGTAACAAGACTGCTCGTATCATAAAATGAATAAAAATAAAATGAAAAACTTTTTTTTCTAAAATTTGAAAATTTTTCTATGAAAATCATCCCCCCACACGCCATATAAAGTACAAAACAATAGATTTCGCTCCTTGCAACAAATCAATTATGGCAAATAAGCTGCTTTCAACCAATTTGGGACTATTTCTAAGACGGATTAAATCTCCGCTTACGCGTTGATAGCGCAAAATATATCGCGCGTTAACTGTCCCAAATTGATCAAATTGGCCAAAATGGCAATCTTTAAACCCCCATAACTTTACGAAAAATAATCACAGGTGAAACATCTTTTCAAATTTAAGCTCAGGACAACAATAGCTTTTGAATGATATTAAAAAATTTCGTCAAAAATGGCTAGTTAAAAAGTCGAAATTTGTCTGAAGAAAAAAAACCCACCCCGAGCACAAATATTCCGTTACTTTCGTATCGAAAGTCGGAACAATAACAACTTTAGACCACCACAAAAACGTTAAAATACACTACTGTTCAATTGGAAAGAAAAGGAGAACATCTGATTGACTGTCAAATTGACGGGATTGACGAGATTTTCAATATTAAGTTAAGTTTAGTAGGTCATATAACTGTCCATTTTACCAACGACGTCAGCCGTAAAAAGACCCTGAGAAATGCAAATTGGATTGATTTATCTGGTTTATGATGATTCTGAATGACTTTATCGGTCTTCAATCCAGCATGACGTCAATTACAAAGATAAAGGGCAATCATTAGTATAGCGCAACTTACATGAAGTTGATGAACAGGTTGTATTTTTGGGCTTGTTTTAGATTTTTTTGTTCGGCTTAAAGTTTGAATACCTTATGCTTCAATTTCAAACATAGGCTTCAATTTTAAACAAGTTAAATGTTTATAGAAAGAAGAATAAGCGAGTTGCTGGCATTTAGCACAGAGTGTTCCAACCAGAGTCATCCTTGCAAAAATAGAGAAAAAATTTTGCCACGAAAAAATTAGATAACTTTCCTGGTTTTTAGCTATTTGAATCCTTGGTACGCACAAATATGGGTTTAGGGAGGGAGCCTATTGAAAAGCTCGGTGTTCCTTCTCTTAGAAATAAGTCTTCTAACTAATTTAACCTAACTCGACTTATGACCACCTAACGGGTCCCTCTTTGGTTTTATTTTAAGACATCTTTTTTCATCTTCTGAACAACCCTGAAACTTTTCTAAAGACGCAGCCGGCGTCAAAATTGCTTATTAATGAGGAAGGGGAACGCCGAATAAACACCGTTTTTTGATGAACATTTTTGATGAAGTGTCCCAAAACTACTTTTTTGCCTGCTTTTTTTTTGCAAATTCCCCAGCGATGCAAAAATCCAAAAAAAGTTGATTGTTTTGGTGAAAACTCCACCCCGCCCAGGATCGAAGCTAATAATACTTTGTGAGTATATAAATCAAATTTTTCTTCTTCTTCAGAAGAGACGTCCAATTTCGTAACGAGACCTTAAATCGAAACTCTATAGTTCTCAAATGGTTTTCACTTTGCGATTTGTCGCTGTCCAAGATTTTTGCAAGTTCTCCTTTTAAGCGAGTTAATTTTTGTTGCGAGTTTTTGCGGTACTCTCTCAATTCAAATTGTTTCTGAACAACAAAAAACTCTGATAAATAAAATATATGAAGAACAAAATACTTTTTTACAACTTCAAATTTCTATAGCGTCTGCCATACTCGATTCCGTATCAGTTTTTGGTCGCAAAACAAAAAGCGCATTGAAAAACTATGCAGGCAAATTTAAACAAAGATAATCGGTTGTTGTGAAAATAACACAGAATTTTCCGATGCAGCATGCTATATATAGGAGCACAAAAATAGGAAGCAAATTTGTAAATCAATTTTTTAACTAAAAGTTACTGGTCCCATAAAGACGTTGTCGCAGAGAAAAAAAACGAAATAATGACATTTTGATCGCACCAGTCAAAAAAGTGAAGAACATGATATCAATAACTCAAATTCTCACAAAATGTAATTTTAGAAATTGCTTTAAAAAAAGAGATCTCACCTGTGAACTGGGGCTGATAAACATCGGTCTCGCGGCTTTCACGTTCGACGAGTCAAAAATCCTCGCAATGCGATTTGTCTTTACGAGTAGAGCCGAATACATTAACGAGAACGCCATTCCTATCGACAATTTTTGTGCGGCACACACTATCAAATTTGGCTTTAATAGCAGTAAAAAGGGTATCGCGTAAGCTATGAATACTCCGGTTAGTAAAATAAAGCAAAGTTCTCGAGCGCTTGCTTTAATGGCCGGTGCCTCTGAATGTTTTATGTAAACTGCTATAATAAAAACAGTCATTATGATCCCGGTAGTGGCAAATACGACAGTTACGATTGCGTGAATGTTGGAGAAGTTGACGAATTCGATGGATATCCGATCGCATTTGGATTTGGCGTCGGAGGGTTTGTGCTGTGGAGGACATTCACGACAGGCAGTCTCGTTGAAGAGGTATTCACGCACTCGACATGACTGACAAATCCAGCAACACGCCTGAAATAAAAGCGGACTTGTACTAGCAACTGTTGGCGGATTCTAGGGGACTGCCGGATTCAACTATTGACTTGAGCGAGGACTGCGCCCTACAATTTTTTGATTTTAATTTTTCATTTTGTTGTTTGCCATATAAGCTACATTCAGGTTCATAAAAAAAAATTAGCAAGCCTCAAAATGCCTTTTGATCGACATTTTGAGTTAACCTTACCACGTTAAGCTCGAATGTTTTGTTATTGATCAGGAATCCATAAGCTTCAAAATTCGACAAAATTTAAAAGAGAGCTTTTAAGTCAAAAATCAGATAGAATTGGTTGACATACGATCAACCACTAGGCGTTTAATTTGGGTTTTGATTTTCGAAAATTGGACAAAAACTTCCAAATTTTGTCGGTTTTTTTAGACTCATTCGAATAATGTATTGTTGTCTTGAGCAGAGATTTAAAAATAACAGAGTAGAGATTTTAAAACAATCTTTTTTCGTTAAGTTACGCGTCTTTAAATATTGCCAAAATGGCCAATTTAGGACAATTGACTTGACGAGTGATTCATTTTGCGTTTTTACCCGTCAGCAGAGATATAATTGTTCCGACTTTCGATACGAAAGTAACGGAATATTTGTGCTCGGGGTGGGTTTTTTTTCTTCAGACAAATTTCGACTTTTTAACTAGCCATTTTTGCCCGAATATTTTTATCATTCGAAAGGTATTATTGCCTTGAGCTCAAATTTGAAAAAATATTTCACCTGTGATCATTTTTTGTAAAGTTATGGGGGTTTAAAGATTGTCATTTTAGCCAATTTGGGACAATTAACGCGTGATATATTTTGCGCTATTAACGCGTAAGCGGAGAATTAATCCGTCTTATAAATCGTTCCAAATTGTTTGAAAGAAGCTTATTTGCCATAATTGATTTGTTACAAAGAGCGAAATCTATTCGTTTGTACTTTATATGGCGTGTGGGGGATGATTTCATTTTAAAAAAATTCAAATTTTAGAAATTTTTTTTTCGTTTTATTTTATTACATTTAACTTTTTTTATGTTACTTCTGCTCCATAAACTTTAAATGGCAGACGGAACATTTAGGGCTTCGCCCTGTTACGAGCAGTCTTGTCCGTCTTGGAAATCGTTCCAAATTGCATTGAAGCATGCCATTTAGCTTTTTTACATACTTTGTTAAATGTAAAAATGACCACTCTGTAATTTACATAGCGTGTGGGGGGATTAATTTTAAAAAAAGTTATTTTTTTGCACAAGTTTTATCACAAAAGATTTTTGAAATTTTTTCATTTTTTTTTAAATCATCCATCTTTAAAAAACAATTTAATGGTCACTATTAGCTATGGGAACAGAAAATTGGCAAATCAAATAGCCTTTTCAGAAATTTGTATTACTAGCAAAAAATCAATCAATTATCCAACACAAATGGCAGTGACAAATAGCGAGTGCTTTCTCAACTCACTCCGCTGCGCTTACATCCGGCATGAGTGGTACTATGCGCCAGAATCAGTGTTTGACGCTAATCGATACATCTAAAAAACGGTTCAAAATTGCCCAACTTTTTAAAGCCATCACTGCGTTTGGATATAATGAGATTAGGCTCCTAGTGGCGTATTTAGCATCTTTTTTTTCATAAAAACAAGTTTCCATAATAACGATTTATTATTAAAAATTTTTTGTATTTCTAAGAAATAAACTATCAAATTTATGCTATTTGATAACTTTATTTTATTATTAAACGTTTATACCAGTAATATTTTATGATAGTTAAGCGGTCGCCTAGAAAAAAGCCAAAACATTTTTAAAAGTAAGTAACTTTACCACTTTGTTTCCAAAAAATTGCCCGAGATAAACTAAAGGAGATTAGGAATACTCAAGATTCTGCTTTGATCTTAGCAATTTTTTGACAAGACCTATTACTCGAAGAAAAAAAAACGAAAATGGAAAGAGCAAGCGCTGTTTCGGATATTATATAGTTTCATTTGTCTGGTACCTAGTAAACAACTTGCAGCAGGCGCGGATCTAGAGTTTTCTCGAGGGGGACGTTTTCGAAAAATCTTGACGACATTTTTTTAGATCGACCATATTGTGTTTTTGAACTTATACAGATCTAATCCGAAATAACAAGTATGGTACTTTCGAATCCAGATATAGGGCTGATAAGATACTGCAGCGAATAATTGCTTTAAAGCCTAATTATTGCAAACCGCTGCTATTAATCTGATGAATCTAAATTCCATAAATAATATTTTTAAATGAAACATTTTTAATTTGAAGTAACATTTGATTTTCAGTTCTTTTTGTTTTTCATGTTAGTATTATGTTTCTGCGTAAACCATACACTGTAAAAACATTTGGTTCAATTAAAAGCGTTGGCTTAAATGGATGAATTGGTATTTTACTCTCGTATTTATAATTATCACAATTTTACTATTAAGGAACTTGAAAATGCCTCTAGTTGATACGATCAAGCACCAAGTTCGGGAGAAAAGGAGGGTCTTTGCTATCAAAAATAATCAATTTTAATCCCTCCCACTGCAAATTTTGCCCTGATAGTTACGAAGTGCTAATTAATTTGATTTTAAGTTTAAATATTTTTTAGAAAAATATTGACGAAAAAGTTATTTCATTCTGGGTAGAAGCGGTTCGCTTATTTATGCTTTTTTTCATTTTAACTGTATCGGGGTTTCAGTTTGTTTCATCACTTAAAAAAATGGGCCTTTAATCCTGTATTTTGTCTACTTTTTGACCGCAACCCGTATCTCAAATAGACCAGTCAATCGAATATTCATTGGGGAAATTAGGGATTGTCTTTCGTGATCTATAAACCACCCAAGAGGAGTTAAGTCTGGTGATTATTTAAAAGTTTAGCGAGCTGAAAATTTGGGAAAGATTAGGGGTTTAAAATTAGATTTAGACAGTAATTGAACGTCCAATTTTTTCTGAAGTTGATCGTATAAAGTTGGAATTAGCAGCTTTTTGTCCATTCGATCACTTTGACTGTTAGTTAAGTCCGTCCTAAGTCCAAACTAATCGAATGGCATTAGAAGTCAAAGCGAAGATTAACTCCAGAGATCGCAAAAAAGACCATCAAGGTTAACTCCACTCAAGAAAATAAGCGAATTTTTTTATGCCTCATTTTTTTCTTTAAGAAAACTAGCTACTTCTTCTATGCTTCAATTTTTTCTGTAAGAAAACAGCTAATTAACATTAGGTATCGACCATCTACCAATTTCTAGGAATTAATTTTAAATGACAGATGATGTAACTAGAGCTAAGTTAGATCTGGTTCAGGTTTGAAAAAAAATTATCAGTCATTTTTTTCCTGTCGCTAAAACTTTTTTTGAGTTTTTCGTGAGAAAGACCAGAATGCAATGACCAGTCATGCCGGGTTCACTGATTGCACCCTTTTTGACGACAAGTTTTCTTTCCAGTGAATTTCATCGTTAACTAGTACAGCAACGCTTCGGACTTCTTTTGTACCCTTATTTTCGCTGAAGCTTCTAATGACGGAAGCTCAGAATCATACTGACTTTTCTTTTGGAAATAGTTAAAAAGCAGAAGGGCCAAATTAACAAAAGAATTGGAAACAGGTTTAATAGCTAGGGTTTTCTGTTGACTTGAGGATGTGAAAAAAACATGCAAATAAAATGAGAATAGACTGAAGAAGCCCAAGAAAATTTAATCTATGATATTATGCTTTTTTCTGCAAAAACGCGTTGAAACCGATCAAAAAATTCTGTAATCACGAAAAAAACTACTTTAAAATTTGTTATGGTAATTTCATTTAACGGTTCTTTGCAAAAAAGTTTATAAGAAAGAGAGAGAGAGAGAGAGAGAGAGAGCGAGAGAGAAAAAATACTTTATTGTTGCATCAACTTTTGCAGTTACAAAATTGTTTGTGGATGGAACAAATGTACATTATTATTAAATACATGAATTAAAAAAATGTTTAATCAGTCACTGAATACATATGATAATTTAAGTTTATTTAAAACTCTCCTTAAGAAGTAAGGGGGAAGTTGGGTGTTGGTAGAGTCTACCCTTTATATGTATTAGAACTTATCCTCTATTAATTTTAAATTAATTTGTTTGATAGCGTACAAGTTTTCTTCATGGAGATGATTTTTTGAATTACCAAGTTAAAATTTTTTATTGATGTAAATTTGCAAGGACAAATTTAATAATTATTCTGCAAAAAAATTATCCTTATTGTCAATTATCCGTAATTCGCTAAGTTTTATGCGTTTGTATAATTGTCTCATCGCGCAACGCACAAAAAAGACGATATTTAGAAAAAAAACGAGAAAAACTTTTAATAGTCTGCTATGAACGTGGTCGGAACGTTCTGTACTTGCACAGCTACCGGCTATCCCTGTCAACTTGTTTTTTTTTTTGCAAAAACCTTTATCAATTACTTGAGCAGATGTGAACCATCAACAAAACTGTGCTGTGAAACCCATAATTAAAAACGCGTTGAACATTTTTTGAGACTTCAGAAAACAATAAGTTTTTGTCTTAGATCTCGCAACATTCTAAATTCAAAAGCAGCTGAAGTTTTTAGTTATTGCACACTGCCCGGGTTGACGTCCATAGAAGAAAAATACTTATCATACAGTTTCAAATATGAAGTCTATGGAAAAAATGTTTATCATAGAAAATTTCGTACAAAAATTAAAAAGTGTTTTAAAAATTTTTAATGAAAATTTTTGGTCTACTTGCCTCTTTTGAACCTTTCTGGTCATCAATTTAAATTTAAAAAAAAACACTTATCACACAATTTTCATTTATGAAAATTGTATGATATGCATTTTTTTCATAAACAAAAGCAAAAAATTGAGGTAAACAATTTTTAATCCCTTTTTTGGCTGCAAACTTGATTTTGTGCTAAAATATAAATTTTACGAAAAAAAAAATTGCATGCAAAATTTGATTTTTTGTGTTCATAACGTAGTCCAGGGTGAGTTTTTCACCCAAAAAATCGAAAAATGTTTCATTTGCTATAATAGAAATAACTTTGTAGAAAAACAGGCTTTTTTCTCAACCATCAAAATTTTAAAACTAAAAATTATCTAGCCATATTTAGAAAGTTACTTTTTGGTATACAACTCCATGTGAAAATGTTATAATTAACTTTTACGGCTAAAATCACCAAATGCAGTTTATCTGCGTGGTAACTGCCAGTTACTCTCTGGGTTGTCTTATGACAAAAAATCCTTGGTTAGTGTTTCGGTTGAAACACGAAATTTCGAAACAAAACTTTTTGTTTCGAACATATGAATTATTAGATTACAGGAAGTCTTGGAGCAGTGTTTGACCTGATACGCTTCAAAGTAAGAGAATGGGATCTCTCTAACGGTAACCCCGTAGGTACAATTGTGGGGATTCGTTACTAGATACACAAATCCAATATGCTCAATCCGTAAATTAATTCTTCATAGGGGAAAGGGAGATTCCTTTTTTGGGTATCATAGGGGAGGCAAAAGGGGGATCCCTCAAATAATATATACTTATTATCTATGACTCAATGCGAACTGAAGTTGGAGAAATGACCAAAGATTGATTAGAGGGAAGTGGTATCAATGAACATTGGCGTTTTGGCTCAAAACAGTCTCACAAAGTTTAGAGAGTACGGTGTAATTAATAACGTTACTGCGCATGTGTAGATACTTGACACAAGGCTCCTATGATATTATTTTGAAAAACAAAAGATTGATAAAAATATCTGAGCGAAACTTTCACGATTATTTTAGGTTTTTACAAAAATGCGTTAAAGTGGTTAATCACTCATTACTGATGACTCCCAACACGATCTTAATTTTTTGTTACAGTTATTTCATGTTATGATCGAATAACAAGCTTGAATTCATTCCCATTCCTCATCTAGAAAAAGGTACACATCAAAAATGAAGTTTTATAAAAATTGTCAAGTTTTGTTGAAACTACTACGATCGGACGAACATTTTTCAGCCTGTGGAAGCTGGCTGCCGTTGTTTTTGATAACATCGGTGTTTTTAGCTCTTCGATGTTTTTAGCTCTTCTTGTATATTTTTAAAGTAATTTCGTTTTCGACATTTTTCACACTGTCTCTTAGCCTGACTATGAGTAAAATTTTGAAGGAAAGTACCCCTATTTAACTATTCATTGCTATAGTAATAACTATTTATTGCTATTTTGTTAGGATCCCATGACAAAAATAGTTTTAAGTTAAGTGATGCAAGTTAATGTCAAGTTAATAAAGTCAAATATTTTAAGAAAACTTTTCCAGGATGCAAGGATAAGCCTTAAGAAGAAAGATTGACCGCGTTTAGTCAGAGGGCAAGCGTTTCTTTTTATGCCTTTACTCGACAATGAAAGATGTTTTTGTGAGAAATGATCGGAACATTTTGAAATCTTTTGGTCCCAATAAAAACTTTTGAAAAGGAAAGTTGCCCAATTTCAAAAAAAGTTTTCGACTTTCAGACAAAAATTTGTGGTCATTAAAAGATTAGATTCACAACTGATACTTGAAATGCAATTTAAAGCAATAAGTATTTCAACAAGTGATTTTTCAATAAGTATTTTTCATTAAATTAACTAAGCTCATCTTCATTATACCGTTGCGGGTCATGGGCCGACCGACAGACTGAATAGTGAAAACTGACCGTGATTGCAAAATGTGTGAATGAGCTAGATGCACAACTCCTCACCTCTTTCCAAAAAAGCCTTAAAAAATGATTGAAAAAGGTCTAGGAACTAATATTTTACAATGATAAGTAAAACTTAAGTCAAAGTATTTTTAGATAATCCGATTCTTACTGGATTTTGAATGAGCTTCACTTGTCCAGGCGGACACTCCTCGCTACACACGGACTGCGGCACGTGACTCATCATTAGGCCATCGTCAGCGTCAGCTTCATCATCTAACTCATTTACATCCTTTGCATACACAGTCTGTCTGCCCATCACCTGCAACTGCTGCGAAGTTGTTGTCGGCGGTTGCTCAAACTCCACTCCAGCGAAGCGAACCAGGTCCCCGTTTAGTTCCAATTGGTCGTTTTTGTAGTGGCCCACCTCGACATACCCGTACGTACCACTGGGTTGGTCCTTGCGGAAATTGAGGATTTTGTAATTGGGTGGCGCGTCACCGTCTTCCTCAAAAGCTACTATGTTTCCGTTTAAGCCTATAACAAACAAGACTGCTCTACAGCAGGGCAAAGCTCTGAATGTTCCGCCTGCTTCTTAATCAGATACGAATAGTTTTTGGCTAAAAATATTGAAAAATCATCAATTTTGGTTAAACCAAATGTGAAGGTTTGAGTCGCACAAAGTTAATACGACCAACTAGCTTGCCTCAATTACAGAAAATTGACTGATCATAAAAAATTACCTAGCATAAATATTCGGCATTTGCTTCGAAAATCGGAACAATTAGAATTTAACATGCGTCCACTTGTCCACTCGTCCCGTACTGTACTTCTTGCATAGCTTGTATTTTTGTTTTCGCGACCTTCGAGACGGGTAGAATATTGTTTTTGGGAGTGTCTCGTCAAATTTATTTGACGTTAGTTCGGTGCATCACAAATAATCATCATATTGGATTAAAAAATAAATAGTTTCAAAACTCTTTAAGCCGAGAGCCGATCGGCAATAAATGATATCTCAAAAAAGCGAACAAATAATGTGACAAACGTTTCGCTAAGCTATAAATTCTTTAGTTATTACCCATGGAAAAATAGTTTTTGAAGCTGAGTAAGCACTGAGAGTTAAGAAGAATAATCATCATTCGTGTTCAGGGGCGGATTTAGGGGGGGACGCCCTTCCCCCTCAGGGATTCGACCCCCTGACGACCAAAAAGGTCCCCCCTTTGGTACTTTTTAAGAAATCCATTTTTGGCCGACCGACCCTAAAGTTTTTCTAACGGCGCCTTTGGCGCCAATATATACTAACTTTGAGGGGGAGCGCGCGCCAAAGAAACGTGATTTTTTTGTCAAGATTTTTCAAAAAATGCCCAAAAATTCTTTAGTAAACAGTGGGTTTATTTTTATGGAGTAAAAAAAGTCAATAATAGAACAATTATATTTAAGTGTATTCCCTTAAGGAATAAGTTTGTATCAATGATCAATGATTTTTCGGAATAAAATTTGGTGAATTTTCAAAAAGATTTCGAACATTTTGTGAACTTTTTTTTAGATAGACTAAATTAATTTTCTGAGCTCTCCCAAATCACAATAAAGACCCTATTTTGATCAAATTTGGGTCTTTATAGTAAAATAGGCAAAAGGGGCGTTGTTAGGCATTTTTTGAAAAGTTTTGATCTAAAATTGCTTTTTTTGGCGCGCGCGTTCCTCGTCATAATTAGTATATATTGACGGCAAAGGCACTTTTTAAGCATCCCCCACCCCCCACCCCTAAATCCGCCCCTGCGTGACTGTCTTCTTCATTAAGTTGTCGACTGTTTTTAATAAAACGAGCAAGCCCGTTTCATTAATCAATCGGCTCGCCTAAAATTGGTTGTATTAACATAGTAGCAACCTATTCAAGCATCGATTCCATAACGTGAATCGGTTTGCGGATTTTTCAAGCCATGTAACTTTGAAATACTTGTATCTCGAATCTTTTCAGAATCAACCATTCAAGTTATTAAAGTTTTTAAATATATCTTTCAAACTATTTCACAATGAATTGATTTGCATTAAGTTACCAAAACAGCTTTCATCATCGGCAAACGATAAAAATAATTCTTTTCACAAATGGCTCTCAGAAAAAACTTTTTCTTAAATGTATTTTTTGTAACTAATTTACTTTTCTTCTTTTTTGAAACTACCCTCCCAAATCTTAAACCTAGGGTTCAATCAAAATAACATGTTGCATGAAACTCGGAAAAGTCAAACGTTTGATTTGTTGATTGTTTTTCGGAAACTTTGACTCAGAAGCGGCAATACCTTATTGTTTTGGACTTTCATTTAACTTTTACCAGAAGCTATTCAAGCAATGATTATTTACAATAGCAAAAAATCATGTTATTCCGCAGAGTCAATTGGTTGACAAAACAATCAAGTTTTTCTTAAGCAAGCCATTCAAGCTATAAAACTTTAAGGTAATTCAAACTACTTTAAGTTAAAATTAAAGTTTCTATCGAAAACATTCAAGCAATTAACTAATTCAAGTCATTTAGCAGACCGAACCGTCTCGCGGAAATTTAAATTAGGCACACTAACCAAACGATTAAACATTGAATTATTTCAAACTTTTTACATAAAGCAAATTGGCTCGAAAAAACTTGAAAATTTCTTAAGCAAATTAAACAAGTCATAAATTTTTGCAAATTTACATGATAGTTGATTGAAAAAATCCGTTCAAGCGACAAAACTTTGAAAAATTTCAGTTAATTCATCGATCGAATTGGCTCGCGAAAATCAGAAAATTTTCTAAGCAAGCTTTTAAAGCATGAAATTTCTTATTTATCTCGAAAATGTGTTCATAGCTTGCATTGCTTAGCAAAAAAATTATTTAGACAAGCTATTGAAGCAATGAGAATTTTGAACTACTTCGAAGTTGCTTTCATGGTTTTTCAAATTCCACGGCTAGTTGAAGGTTTTCAAGCGAGGTATTGAAGCAATGAAAATCAAAACAAATTGATTTCTTTTTAAATTTGAATAGCTACCTGAAAACTTCCAAATCTAAACAATTCTTGGTTTTTTTGAACGTGGATCCCAGAAAGTTTTCTTAAGCATTGCTTTTGACTAAATTAAATGGTAGCGTTCAGTTAAACCTTGAGTCAATAGCTTATTTGAACTTCCATTTATATATATATATATATATATATATATATAAAATTACATATATAAAAACTTATTGATATATATACATATGGTTCATGTATTTCATGTTTGTTGTGGGGGTTGCATTGATAGCAGAAACTGGCAACAAAAATACTTGATATAGAGCAAAGCCCTGAATGTTTCGACAGACTCTTCAATTCATTTTAAAAAATTGTTTTTTTTTGTTGACAACAATTAATGAAATAATAAAAAAAAATTCAATTTTTTTCATTTCTTTTTTTGTCTTTATCTCCCTCTCACGCTTTCTAAAGTACAAAACGACCTATTTTGAGTCTGGTATTGCATTAATTTAGTTTGGAACGCTTTGGTTCATCGCCCACGCTTGAATAGCTCGAAATTCATTGCTCGAAATTCATGATATGAAAAACTGAAAATTTTGCGAGTTAATTTGGCTAAATTGGTCTGTAGGAAAAAAAATCACCCGAGCTCAAATATTTTGCTACTGTTTTCAAAAGTCGGAACTATGATGGTATTTGATCGTCTGAAAGTGACCGGAGAAACTATGGGTTTGCTCGCGATTTTTCCGCCCAATTTAGGGAACCAAAAAATTTCGTTGGGATCAAGTTTATTAGTTTAAAACCCTTTAGTCGTAATTTGGATTCCAAAATGTGTCCAGAAAAAATAGTTTTTCAGCTTAGCTTGCTCTGTAATGAGAGAGACAAATGATCTCTTACTTTCTAATTCTACTGCTTTTTCACTTTTATTGTAGTTAAAGTCACTAGATTCTGTACAATATTATCCATTGGAACACACCAACAACGCACCTACAAAACGCATGGAAAAAACAAAACCTTTCGAACTTTTTTTGAATCTTCCTCATTTTTCATTTGGTTTACCTATATTATTGTGATCGAAGCATTGTATACTCCATTTTTCTGTTCAAAGATATTTTTGGCATGGGACCTTGTATAATGGGATCTTCATAAAAAACTGTTTTTTTTTGCGTGTGTTTTGATAATTTTGCTACAAATTAGGGGTTCTTCATTCCTTGGGAGGATTATATATAAACTTTCAAGATATTGGCTAGTCTAGAATGTATTCTATCAGGGGCATAAAACATGTAATTTGAATTGCGCGGCGGATCCATTGGGATATTTGGTTCAAACTATCGAATAATAACCTTAATTTAAACAACGGGCTGTGACATTTTCAATTCCCAAGCCCAAAAAATGCAGACGCAGATAGAACTGAAAGTAGTACCTTGTTGAATATAATTTGATTGCAATGCTTTAAACGGCAAATTCATTCAACTGGGACCTCCAATGAACATTGAATTTTGTCATTTCAGATTGAATTTGTAATGATGGTCCAAAAAAATAAGCGTTAATGAAAAAGAAGTTGTCTCATTCAAATCTTGAGCAATTATTTCCTTCAAACCATAGAAATGACGGGAGAACACGTTTTTCGCCACCCTCTGTTGCCCTTTTAACAAATTTCATTTTCGATAAACTCATTTTGTTCGAGCCTTTTTCGTATATTACGCGTTAAGACATAAACACACGGGAACTGGCAATCCCAAAGACGGGTTTGAGGCCAAAATCTGAACAAAACTGCTCGTCGTTTTCTTCAAAACAGGATTGTTCTTTTAATGAAAATGACGGTGACGTTTTTTCAGTCCAACGTTAATGCTCGGTGAAGTTTTTTCAGTCCAACGTTAATTTTGAACGGACCTTTTTACAGCAATTGAAAAGTATTGTTATCTTGAGTTTAAAAAAAAGATTTTTTGTTTGCGGTCACCTTCCATACTGTTCGAAGGTTTGGAAATTGCAAGACTTCTCGCGATACCCAAGACTGCTGGTGTCAAGTCAAAGCCCTGAAAGTTTCTGCTGCCATTTAAATGGCTTCGTATAGTTTTTTGCTAAGTTAAGTATTGTGAAAACTATGATTTTCAGACTGATCATAGTAAAGTTTAAATAATGCAATCTGAGCCATGTATCGAAATCTTAAAACTAAAATTGGTTTTGTAAAATTGATCTGAATAAAAGAAAAACACCCCGAGCATACATATTCCTCACTTTCCTTGAAAGTCGGAACAGTAATGCGCAACTTGTGTAGCAGTATTAAAACGTGAGCGGCAAAATAATCTGAGCGGCAAAACAATCTGAGCGGCTCATAAATTAGTCAAAAATTTAAATAACGCAAGCTATTGGTTTTACTGTTCCGACTTTCGATATGAAAGTAACGGAATATTTGTGCTCGGGGTGGGTTTTTTTTCTTCAGACAAATTTCGACTTTTTAACTAGCCATTTTTGACGGAATTTTTTATATCATTCGAAAGGTATTGTTGTCTTGGGCTCAAATTTGAAAAAATATTTTACCTGTGATCATCTTTCGCAAAGTTATGGGGATTTAAAGATAGACATATTTCGCGCTATTAACGCATAAGCGGAGAGTTAAACCGTCTTAGAAATCATTCCAAATTGGTTGAAAGAAGCTTGCTTGCCATAACTGATTTGTTACAAGGAGCGGAACCTATCTTATTGTACTTTAAATGGCGTGTGGGGTGATGATTTTACAAAATATTAGAAAAAAAAAAGTTTTAACTTTTTAATGTTATTACTGCTCCATAAAACTTAAAAGGCAGTCGGATCATTCAGGGCTTCGCCCTGATACGAGCAGTCTTTTTTTATGTATTAATAAACGCTTATTGCATAAACTTGTACTTTAGTTGGCGTGTGGGAGAACCTTCAGAAAGAATCTGAAAGTCTACAAGTTTTTGCTAGAAACTTTTACATAAGTTTAAATAAAAAGCTGTTTTGTGGACAATAAAGAGCAGTCAGAACAATCAAAGTTTTGTCTTGATGGGAGCAGTCTTGTTTTTCTTTGAAAAAATTGGTTCACATGAGAAAACACCCATTGTGTATATTTCTAAAAGATGAAAAAACTAAAACCACGTGCATGTAGTTTGAGCTCGGGATAGCAATTCATGATTTTTTGCGCATTGTTTTGTTTTGTTTCCATTTCAAAAAACATTGATTTTTCGTTCTCGAGGTATTTCTTTATCCAAGAATTTTTTTGATGTTTCATTTAACTGTTTTTAGTTTTAAAATATCATATAAAAACTAATAATGCCCTGAAATTGCCAAATCAAGAAAATTATATTTCACCTGCATATGTTTTTTGTAATGGTATTTTGTTTTGAGAGCTGCTGTTTTGACCAATTTTGGATAATTATCGTGCAGTGAACTTTGTCCTATCAAAAAATTAGCGATAAGTTAACTCAATCTTATTTTTTTTTCAAATCCATCATTTCCAGATGCCAAATAAATCTACTTGTAATTTACATAGCGCGTAGATTAAGAAAATAGAAATCAAATCGGAAAACGATATACATTTTTTGAACATTTTCATCGGAAATGCCGTCGGAGCATTCAAAGACTTCAACGTTGTACAGAAAGTCTTTTTCTATTTTGGCCCAATCAATTATTTTATAAAGTAAATTTTTTGAAGTAAATGCTTCACATAAAATCTAATTGTTACGCTTGCTCAATGTTAAGCTTCGGCAGGGCGCAGAATTCACTTTCCAAAAGCCACTGATCAAAAACGCAATGCTAAACTCAAGTCAATAGTATGGAATATTGTTATTCCACAGAAAGAGTCTCATGTCCATTAATCTTCAAGTTACATGTAATTGATTTCAAAACACTAAATAGGTTTTTCAATAGAATAAACCAGAAGTGTGAGTGGTAAGGCCATTCATGCAGACAGCATTTCAAAACACAAAAATTTCAAACATGCTTGCTGAAAAATGATTTGATTGTCAAGGTTTAAAAAAGATAGTTTCTTTTTTGTGACACGGATGTAGACGAAACACACGTTTTCCATACTTAGTTCTAGATTGAGTATTTTAGAAAAATTGGAAAACAAAACCTGCCAAGTATCAAGAAGTTTTGTAAAAAGCTACAAACTGAGCGATTTAAAACCGAGCGATTGAAAATTGCCACCAGAGCAGCAGAATTCGAAGAAACCAATGATCTGCCTTGAATTATAGTTTATAGTTGCGCAGTGAATGTTATAGTTAGCTGTACTTTTTGCAAATTGAGTTTGAAACAGCGTGCGGATAAATGTTTCATTGAAAAATTGCTTTTTTTTCATTTGTTTTTAACTTCATCATAAAAAAAGGAACCACTCAATGGACTTGAAAAGGCAATTGGACTGTTCTTTGCGTTGCTCTGTTACATGCAGTCTTGCTTTCATGCGACAACACCAAAAAACTTTTAAAAGAATTGCGAAGACTTTTATTGAAAAATCTAAAGAGTTTAACTAAGTAAAAAACCATCCCAAGTACAAAAATTCTGTACATTTTTGAACAATTAAGTTCAATTTTAAAAAAAAAGAACAAAAAATGATCACAATCTTATGTTTTTTTTTTGCGAACTTTAAACAAACAGTTTTTTAAAGCATGTCAAACTTTAAGTTTACTTATTTGTTATTATATAATTCACAGTATATTAGATAATCAAGCAAAAGCTTGAGTAAACTTACCTATTTTCGAATAATTTTTTTATTTTATTTATTAAAATTGAGATTGGATGGTAAAAAAAAAGAAATGTATAAGCCTTTGGTGCACAGTTTTACATGATATTTTTTTGTTCTAAGTTTACTATGCTGACCCTCTGAACGAAAGGATGAATGCCCTTTGAGCTGCCCTTTAGGCAGATTAGGATAAATCTGACAGTTTTATTTCCGAGGAGATTTGATGACTTTTTAATCCCTTGACCGGGGAAAAAACAACCCTAATTCATAAAACAGATAAATTGGTTCACGTTCCAATATTTTATCGGCTTTCCTATTTACGCTTATGCTTTAATTTAGATTGGGAAGCAAGTAATGAACTTGGGATGCTGTTTTCCATAATACAACGGCGCCTCTATTTTTGCGACCCATCGATCTTACTTGTGACGCAATAAAATCAATTTTTCTTAGACAAAATATCTAGTTATATCTTTTCAGTTTCTAGTCTTATAGTTTCTAGTCACTGTTATCTCTACCAAGGGCGGATTTAAAACGGTTATTAAAAACGTCTCGGGCTTAAATGGGGCTTGCATATAAATTTGGAACCCACTATTTGGCCGGAAGGTTCACAAAATTGTCCTAAAATACTTCTAAGAATCAAATCAAATTCAATATTTCTAAGAATCGAATCAAAATCTGAATCAATTTCTAAAGTTTATATGAATTTTGCGCGAAAGTTATTCAAAACAGAGGTGTATTGCAATTTGAGAGACGCTATTCTTAATTTAAACAAAACTTCATTTCATCAAGAACTTACCATTGAATTCGACTTTCTTCATATAGTGCAATAATTCTTCCCCTTTGATGGGAAGAAATCCTTCACAGGGTCCGTCTCCTTCTCCAGACTCCACGTGGACTAGATTTTGGGCGTGGCCTTGAGTTTCAGTTTGGTTTTGACCTTGGCTTTGGTCTTCACCTTGAGTTTCAGTTCGGTTTTGATCTTGATTTTGACCACCGCATTTGTCCTTGTACATAAGATCGAGAGCGTGAGCAAAAACGAAGACTGCGTCCGCAACATACTGGGTCTGCGTGTTGATTTCGACGTCAGATTTGGGTATCGATTCACTCTTATCGCAAATTCTGCAACAAGTTTGAAACTTCAGGGTTAGATCTAGTTTTAGCTTTCAATTAATAAGGGGAGTGGTGTTGAGTGGTTACGTCTCTGCCTCTCAATGGAAAGGTCGGATGTTCGAGGCCCACCATGTTCCGTGCTTGTTGCTCGAGGGTGAAGCAACATTACCCAGCCCAGAAAATTAACCAAAAAAATTGCATGTAGTTCTTAAGCAGGGGCAAAACAGTGGTTTGAGACTGAATACGGAAACAGAAATTTGCACGTTTTCAGTTTTTGGACTTTTGTTCCGACTTTTAAAGTAAGTGATTAATTTAAATGCCAAGTGTGTTTTTTTTTCTTCAACCCAACTTAGACTTTTTTACTAGCAATTTTTGATTTTTGTTTTGAACCAATTTTGATGGATGCTTTTAAATTTCAGTGTTGAATTATTTAGTATAACTACTGCAATATTTGATCAAAAATAAGAAGAAAAAAAACTGAATACGCAAATCAAATCATGTAACTAAACGATATAATTTTAAACGCGACTCTTTAATACATATATGTAAACGGAATCGCAAATAAAATGCGGAGTCCTTTTCAGTTTGAGGACTCCACTTACATTTTGCGGATTCCCGTTACAGTTGCGAATTCCGCAACAGCTCAATTTAACTATACACATGTCTTATTGTTTGTTTGTGGACTACACAAACTGTTTTGAATTTCGCAAATAAGGTTGCGGATTCCGCAAATTTTTCTATTTTCGAAGCGATTTTGAGCGAAACAGTGTTTTAAGTATTTGTATGCAGAACCCATAACAGCAAAGAAGATCAAAGAAAGGTAGCAATGATGTGGATTCCGCGACAAATCTGATTTTGGCCTGTTGTGGAATCCGCATACAATGCACAGAATGCTCAGTTTGGCCTCGTAATGAAAGTTTTCCACTGATTCATGAAGTGTTGTTTAAACTTTGCCGAAGCAATTATATTGAAAAGACTTTTTGCTCCGACTTTCCAAGAAGTTGACAGAAAACTGATTTTTCATTTAGCATAAGAAAAAAAATAAAGGTTTTTTTTCAGCAAACTTCGATTGAGGAAGCAAAAAGAGCAAAAGTTGAGGTTTAACTTTTTGATCAAATTAAGAAGCCGCGTAGTCTGGGACTGAGTTTTCCCAAATGAGACAATTGTCTCGCCCTCGCGGTTTTTTTCAACTAAACTTCAGACTAACAAACTAATTTAGCTTCAAATACTGATTTATGCGCTTGGTTCCTCACGTGCCGAATCTAAGAACAGCAGATCAAAGCAGATCTAACCGTTCTCTTCTTGCTAATGTCGCGTTCACAATTAGTGTTTTCACTTGTTATTTATTTTGAGTCTGCTAACAAACCGGTCTATTGGAAAACCCAGCCCTTGAAGAATTGTATCAACTGTGATTGTTTACGTAAACTATCGGGATCTCCAAGTTGCCATATTGTCAATATATAATTATTGCGTCCCATTTTGCTTTTAATGCGTAGCGCAGTCGACGATTTAGTCCAAAAGATACAACTCCAAAATGAGTTGAGACAAACGATTTGGTTTTCATAAGCTTAATTGAAGAGAAAATAATTAGGTTACAATTTGCAACTGGGTTAAAGGTATGCAAAACAATTTCGAAAAACTTCGGATGTACTGTTTGGTTTTTTCAAAGATCTCAAAATGTACATTTATGGGCGGTCGGAAAATTCAGTTTTGTCTAATATCAACAATTTTGCATTTATAATCATCTAATAAGAATTTAAAAAAAAACTTTTTAGCAGTAGCCTGGTGGTTGTTGCTCCAAGCATGCCCAGGGGCGGATCTAGGATTTTCTCGAGGCTGATCTAGGATTGTCAAGTCCCTGTTTTGGCCCTGTTTAGTCCCTGTTTTGGCCAAATTTTCTGTGCCGCAGGGCAAGCAAATTTTTGAAAAAACAGGCCAGAAAGGCGTTTTTAGGCACTTTTTGGAAAATTTAGATAAAAAAATTACGTTTTCTTTGGCAGGCGCTCCCTTCAAAGTTGGTATATATTGGCGCCTAAGGCGCCTTTAGTAAGATTTTAAGGTCGATCGGCCAAAAATAGATTTCTTAAAAAATACCAAAAGGGGGACCTTTTGGGTCGGCAGGGGGTAGAGTTCCTGAGAGGGGGAAACCACCCCCCCCCTAATTCCGCCCCTGAGAATGCCGTCTAAATCAACCTGATTGTGGCTGAATCTTCCAAACAAATCGGTTGGACATAAATAAAGTACAATAAGTTTATCATAGGCACCAGCGAAATTTTGGGGGGGGGGGAGGCTGGCGGACCCTTCTTCTCCCAGGGATTCGACCTCCTTTGTACTATTTTGAGATATCCATTTTTGGCTGACTGACCCTAATTTTTTTGGTGATGGCGCCTTTGGCGCCAAAATATACTGGTTTTGCAGCTGGCGTTTTGATGAAAATAAAAAAAATCATAGGATTATCATATGAAACCACAAAGTCGCAGGAATGGTATTTTAATTTTAAAGGGAATAATTTTTACCAATGTATGCAATATATGGTTTTATTTAAGTCTTATTTCAACCAAATTTCATTTTGAAGACGAAAACATATATACTTATTACTTAATTAGTGCAATTCAGCGCCATCTTGAAAACTTTTTTGAGGCAGACCCAAAATAACTTCTTTCCATGTGCTATCAAATCGATGTTGTCCTTTTTTACGTCAAAGTTTTAACTAATCAGCGCTTGCGTCTGCGGTTTTATGGTGTAAATAACTATTAAACTTGGTTCCAACTCAAATTTATTGGGTAGGCGTTGCTGAAAGACAGAGTCAATCATGGAGCTGATAGACAGCCTCATGTCTCACTAGATGGTAGGCTTCCTTTCATGGATAAAAATATCGTCATTCATTCTGTTCAAAGCATTTATTAATTAAATCAGACAGCGTTTTTAAGATACCGAAGTCAAATTATTGAGATACCAAAGTCAAGCCAATTAGATACTAAAGTCAAAAAAGCTCAAAAGTAACCGATGGATGAGAAATTGGTTCAGAAAATTTCCATTCGTATTGGTTCAGAAATTTTTCCATTCGTATTTTTCCAAAACGTTGCAAAAATGATGAAAAATTTTTTCTCGCAACTTTGAAATTTGAATGAGGAGTGATTGAAAGAAAGAACGTTAAATGCTCGTACAGATAATTATCGATCAGTATAGTGCAAATTTAGCCTAAAATGCAGATAGCCTGAAATGCAGACCAGTTTTTTTTTGACATGGGGCCAGTTTTTCTTGGAGCCGAAGTCTCGACCAGTATGGATATAATATGATTCCAGACGCACTCTCAAGAGTTTGTTTCGAGATACTTGAAATTTGGTAGAATATCATAAGCCATATACGTTCCAGTCTTTTCGCTACGAGGGTAAAATACCTTAAGCCATATTACGTTCCGGTCTTTTCGTTACGTGGCCGGATCATCATACAGAAAAATATATTTTTGAGACATCTACAGTGTCTCACAAAAATGTTAATGTTTCAAAAATTTTACTCACAGCCTTAACACAGTCTAAACCATTAAACCCTCGGTCATTATTTTTTTCACGCTCAATTAGCTTCCTTTACGCTTATACCCCTTTTTTCAGGAAGTTTTCCAATTTGTTCACTACTTACAGTTTTGTTGCGGGGTTCATAGAAAAAACTACTTAGTAGAAAGTTCAAAATTATTTGACTTGAAGCAAACAGAAAACTCACCATATAATTCTCAGTATTTGGTTTATCCTCATTGCGCTGCACTAATTGTTCTAATTCGTGGAGACATGCTGTCAATTAAGTCTAGGCATGTTTACAAAAATTCCTGAAAAAATAGGGTATAAACATTTGGAAGCTGAATTTATGAGCCTTTTCATGGCTAAATACTTTCTAATTAAGCATGCAAAACGAATGACCAAAATTGTAATGGTTTAGATTGTGTGACAGCCGCAATTATTTTTTTGAAACTTTGTTTCATCTTTGTGAGACAGTATAAATTATTTTTTGTAGGTTTATGCCTAATTTGTTATGCTCACTTTTGACTTTTCAAATAGGCGTTAAAGTTCAAGGTAAAGTTAGAACTAAAGTTAAAACAAAAAAATCAGTTAAAAAGCTTTTGCTCACACACTGGTTTAATTATCACTGTTACGATCAGTCTTTCTAGAAGTTATTTTCACAAAAAAGTTCTTGAAAGGTTTGAAAATGTTCGCCGTGTTTGGCGCAGTTTTACTAGTGAGGCTAACCACCGACAGGTTGATTATTAGACCAATAACAGGACAAAACTGAGAGAAATTGTTTTTTTTTGATAATTTTATCTAATTTATTTTAATCCTGAGTTTGTTGTTAAACATATATCTTTAAAGTAGAGAATAGGCCTAAAAATTTAACAATAAGCAACCAAAAAATCACAATTAAACATAAATTTGTTTTAAACATAATGCTCTGACCGAGCAATGAAAATATTAGAAGTCACTCCAGCCAAAAAAATATTTGCCAAGTTTCGCGTATCCCAAAGAAAACTCGTGAGGGTGCGTCTGATTTTCTCATATTGGTTTTTTGGACTCAGATTTCAAAAAACTGCAAATTTAAAACTCTATGTTTTAAACTTAAAACACAGATTTTTTTGAATAAACAGATTTTTTAATTTTTTTTTATTTTTTATGACACGATTTTTTTAGTTGAACAAAATAAACAAAAGTTTGTGAGTTTTTGAAAAACAGCTTCGGATACGTCAGATGTAGTCAGAAAATTGATTCAAAAACGTTAAATTGTTTGTGTTCTTCTTGCATTATTACTGAATGAAACGTTACCTTCTAGTACATATTTTGTTTCAATTGGTCATAAAGTGTTAAAGACACAGAATCAGGATGATTTTTAAGCATAAATTGCACCATCTCCCAAAGTAACCAGTAAATTCAGCATGTTCAGAGTGCACACTTGCCTTCAAAGGAAATAGAACTAAACATCGGACGCGACTTTGCCGAGCTAGTGACACCAGCAGAAGCCATCTT